ACTGCATCCAGCCTTAAACTTCTTTTCTTTTTCTTTAGCAGTCCTACGCTGGGTTTGAACCTGCCAACCCCAGTGCACAGGGCAAACATTCTAACCACTGAGCTACAGGCACCCAGCCACACAAACCACATTCATAGTAGCAAAGATCTAAGGGACATTACTAAATAGTATCTTAATTAGGTCTCAGGATCTGACCCCTTATCTGAAGGAGACAGGTCTTGCTTTTGTCAGTGCTCTAAGAGATACTGGATCACACTAAAGGCACATGAAAGCCACATACTCACTTTATAAAGTGAATATAACTGCACACAGACTAAAATATTGGCATTTCTCACTGTAGGCCCTTCCAGTATCTTAAGCTAATCTCCCTTTGGTAATACACAAAGATGAAGTTTTTGGACCAATAAAACTTAAGAACCAGGTAGGTCCTGGACTGAATGGCCAGCTGACATCACTACGTTGATCAGTTTTCTGTACTTAACAACAAGCAAAAAAGTCATGAAAAACACAATGGAAGCAAAATCTAAAAATAAATATACAAGAAATTAGATTTTTCTTCTTACTTTTTTTCAAGGGTATAATCTGATAATTAGCCACCAAAGGAAGAAATACATTCATGAGGCCAGTAGTCTATTTCCCTAACCACGGTATCTAGGACTTACAATAGGTACCCAATAAACATTTATTGACTCAAGGAACAAATCAACATTTAAGGAGTTAATTTCTTTGGTATTTACATCTTAGTACCAAGGATTCCAGAGAGCTATACAGAAATGCTCTTAATGATTTCAACATCAGCTAGGCTGGGTTGTCTGTAAACATTATCTGATTTCCTGAAGACAGGAGTGGCTCATGCTTGTAATTTTAACACTCTGGGAGGCCAAGGTGGGCAGATTGCTTGAGCTTAGGGATTCAAGACCAGCCTGAGCCAGAGTGAGACCCAGTCTCTAAAAATAGCCAGGCATGATAGGGGCATCTGTAGTCCCAGCTACTTGGGAAGCTGAGGCAAAAGAATCACTTGAGCCTAAGCGTTTGAGGCTGCTGTGAGTTATGATGCCACAGCACTCTGCTGAGGGTGTCAAGTGAGACTCTGTCTCAACAAAACAAAAAAACAAAACAAACCCCCCAGCTCTTTAGCTTTTAATTTATTCAGTTATAGACAACCCTTGCATTCTGACATAGAACTTCCCTTTCTCTGAAAACAGAGGGTAAAGCCCAAACTTAACCACAAGAGGAGAAACTGCTACATGTTGGCAGTTGTTTTGGCAGAATAACTTAAAGAAATTTTTATTCTTCCTTTTAGTCTTTCATTCACGTGATTTCTTAAAACAAGACAAATTTCTGGCTCAGCGCCGTAGCTCAGTGGTTATGGCACCAACCCCATACACCCGGGCTGGTGGGTTCGAACCAGGCTCGGACCTGATAAACAACAATGACAAGTGCAACCAAAAATAGCTGGGTGTTGTGGCAGGCGCCTGTAGTTCTAGCTACTGGGAGGCTGAGGCAAGAGAATCAGTTAAGCCCAAGAGTTGGAGGTTGCTGTGAGCCGTGACACCACTGTCACTCTACCAAGGGCGACATCATTGGACTCTGTTTCTAAAAAAAAAAAAATTATTATTCAGCCACAGAAAGGACTAAAGTACAGATACATGCTACCTGAATGAACCCCCAAAACATTATGCCAAGTCAAAGAAGTCAGTCATGAGTTTCATAGTGTATGATTCAATTTATATGAAATGTCCAGAATAAGCATATCCGTAGACAAAAAGTAGTTTAGGGCTGGGCACAGTGGCTCATGGCTATAATCCCAGCACTCTGGAAGGCCAAGGTGGGTGGACTGCCTGAGCTCACAGGTTCAAGACCAGCCTGAGCAAGAGTGAGACCCTGTCTCTAAAAATAAGACATCGTGGTGGGTGCCTCCAGTCCCAGCTACTCAGGAGCTGAAAGAAGAGAATCACTTGAGCCCAAAAGTTTGATGTTGTTGTGAGATGTGACACCAGGCACTCTATTGAGGGGGACAAGTGACATTCTAGTCTCAAAAAAAAAGTAGTTCAGTGGTTGCCAAGGGCTGGAGGAGTGACAACTATGGAGTATGGGATTTCTTTTTGGGGTGATGAAAATGTTCTGGAATTAGACAGTGAGGATGGTTGAACGACTTTGTGAATATACTAGAAACCACAGAGTTGGCTTGGTGCCTGTAACTCAGCAACTAGGGTGCCAGCCACATATACTGGAGCTGGCAGGTTCAAATCCAGCCCAAGCCTGCCAAACAACAACTGCAACCAAAAAATAGCCAGGTGCTGTGGCGGGCACCTGTAGTCCCAGCTACTTGGGAGGCTGAGGCAAGAGAGTCACTTAAGCCCAAAAGTTTGAAGTTGCTGTGAGCTGTGACATCACAGCACTCTACTGAGGGCAATAACTTGAGACTGTCTGAAAAAAAAAAATCACTGAGTTGCAAACTTTAAGGCATAAATTTTATGGCATATGAGTTGTATTGCAATAAAAAAATCATATGGGCCGTTCACAGTAGTTCACGCCTGTAATCCTAGCATTCTGGGAGGCTGAACTGGGTGAATTGTTGGAGCTCATTAATTCAAGACCAGCTTGAACAAAAAGCAAGACCCGATCTTTACTAAAAAGAAAAACTGAGGCAAGAGGATTGCTTGAACCCAAGAGATTGAGGTTGCTGTGAACTATGATGCCATGGCACTCTACCCAGGGCAACAGCTTGAGACTCTGTCTCAAAAATAAAAAAATTAAAAAAATCACATGCCAAAAGGAAACAGAATCAGCAAGTGAAAAAAAAGCAAAAGTTAGCATCCCTTCCTTTGCTCTTCCTATTAGCTCAAAAATTCTGACTGAAAAGTCATATATTTTATGTAGATATTTTGAAAACAACTGTAACCCTAACCACCAAACACAAGAAGCTACTTATTTTGATAATGTTTTTATAATACAGACTTTCCTTAAAATGCAAGTTGACAGAGGACTTGTTCCACAAACCCAAACATCACTAGAATTAGTTTTGAGGAAAGACACTATTGTAACAGGCAATGGCACAAAACACATACTGGTTCACAAAAGAGAACTATGCTATTATTCAGTCCAGTTAAAAGGTAATGTCATCAGGAACCTAATTGTGATGGATGTTCTTTTGTTGTTTTCTGTCTTGGTCTCAAAAACAAAACAAAAGCCCATACTAAACTACAGTAAATTATAGAAAAGTTTGTCCAGTATTTAAATTATTGGATATAAAATGTAAAACATAGACTTGGAAATTGAATACTAAATCATCTAGGATGAAATCACACTAAACTTTTTTTAATGCATCCAGTATCACATGAGAAATCAGTAACTACTCTCAGGTACAAACTTCATTCATTTCTTTTAACTCTACTGCTTAACTGCTGATACAGAGTTAAACAACAGTTATGCTCATACATAATATATCTTAACTGACTGAAACGTTAGTCATATAATAAGCATTTTAATCTCTTCTTAAACAATGTTATAGATTTAGAACCTCTGTTTCAAAAGAGGAGTAGAAATAATGTAGATGTTTTGAAAGGGAATCCAGAGGAGGGCATTGAAAGGCCTTGAGAAGTCTTCACCAAATCAGGATAATCAGAGTCTGCTCCCAGTTTTGCTGTTAAAATACTAATGATGGGCGGCGCCTATGGCTCAGTGAGTAGGATGCTGGCTCCATATACCGAGGGTGGTGGGTTCAAACTCAGCCCCAGCCAAACTGCAACAACAAAAAAATAGCGGGGCATTGTGGCAGGCGCCTGTGGTCCCACCTACTCAGAGGCTGAGGCAAGAGAATCACCTAAGCCCATCGGCTGGAGGTTGCTGTGAGTTGTGACGCCACCTCACCCTACCCAGGGTGACAAAGTGAGATCTCTCTCAAAAAAAAAAAAAAAAAAAATACAAATGATGGCTGGCCTACACCAGCTCTACAAGGATTTTAAAATACATAAAACCCAATGCATGTTGAGTATCCGCAATGATGAGAATATCCAAAGACACTGTTGTCAGAGCACTATTCTACGATTTTCAGATTCTGTGCAGTATGGGAGTTACCAGGATGATGATATCGATTAATATCTAACGTGATGTATAAAAATTCAGATGGAATCCTACTCACTCAAAAAGCATTTATGAAGCACTTACATGAACAGCCTGAGGATTATCTGTCTTATCGCACATTGGCAGTGGGTCGTATCTTTCTCTATGTTTGAGGGTGTAGAGAACCATGTGGCTTTCCTGTATCTTTGATAACACTTTCCTCGTGGAACAGACAACTGCACCACTTGAAAGTCTGTTTAGCTTCTCCTTTCACTGCTCCTCTCCTTAAATCTGTTTTTCCTTTTCCCGACACCTTTGTAGTCCCTCTCTCCAACATTTCATTTTCCTTCTGCTGCTATTCCAACCTAGCTTCACCTTAAATTACAATCTAAGCTATCTAGAACAGGATCACTCCAAATGATGTTTTAAAAATGCATTCGAGATCATGAGAGCTTATTGAGGCATGAATCGCATTTAGCGTTAACGTTACTGCTTCTCAGTCCCTCCGTCCTCAGTCCGCCCCTTCGCGATGTCCATCTTGTCTCCACTTTCTGTCCTCCCCAGGTCACTGCCCCCACCTGTTCCTCAGTCTGCCCACCGCAGGTTTCCCCACATCATCTCCAGTTCCCCTAATTCATCCAATCCTGTGTGACCCCCTGGGATTTTGCTCTGGTCCCTCCTTCTCCCCTACGTCCCATCACTGCCGGACAAAACTGAGGGAACGCTCCGCACAGTCTCGCTCGATCCCTCAAACTTTTCTTCCCCTTGGTCTCCCCAGCTCCCACCGCCCCCATTCCCAGACCTCAGGTTTCTCTTCATCTCTGCCCTTCTTCCTTCGCAGTTTCCATACATCTGACTCCTCGAAGCCCTCACAGCCCTCGCACCCAGCGCCCGTCCGTGGGCCCACAGCACCCTTCCGGGCGCGGCCCTCCGACCTGCCTCCGCGCCTCCTGCAGCCCCTGCAGCCGATGGCCCAGCTCCCGCCGGTAGCTTTGCGCCGCCTCCACGTTCTCGCGGGCCTCCTGCAGGAGCAGCTCGGGCTCCAGCTCCATCGCCCCCTTCATCGGCCGCGCCGCCCACAGCTGAGGGTTCGGGTTCCCGACTGTGCCGGGCGCCGCCGAGCGGCCCAGCACAGCCTCCTGCCGGCGGAAGCGCCGCCCCGCCCAGGGGTGGCCCTGATTGACTGCTGCGCAGGCAGGGCCCGGTGCGTGGCGTCCGGATACTAGCACCGCCCTTTGGTCTTGATTGACGGCAGCGCAGGCCCCGCCCTGTGCGTGGCGTCCGGATCCTAGCACCGCCCTTTGGTCTTGATTGACG